TTGTATTAAATAAATAGAGTTCAAGAGTTATTACTCTCTTCTGGAAGTATTTATTTAACCTTGTGCCCTGGCCTTTCATCCCATACCTCCAACATGTTATGGGCCCAGGATACGCAAGCCACTGCGCGAGAGTAATTTTCTGATGTAATAAGAAAATCAAAGTGTTGTGAGTGTATTATGTTTTATAGAATCTAGAAGCAGAGTAAGAGAAATAAAGAGGCCAGAATGGGGACAGCGAGCGGAAACTGGACCACTGTTAGAGAGGGTGCACTATTCGCCAGTCATCACCGTTTTTTAATGAGAGTGAGCAGCACTGGGGTAAGTGACGCCGTCTCCAAGCAAAGTTTCCCCAGAAGCGCGCTGAGTGAAATATTCGTAGGAGTGCGTGTGTGTCTTTGTTCTTCTCTATTCCTACAGTCGAGTGCAGTGTATAGGTATGAAAGACTCGTGCTAATGACGGAGATGTTAAAACGAGTGGGAGCGTCCTGCACGAATTTTTGTTTTTCCAACAAAGAGTTTTGTTTCCGCGCGAGCGTTTTCCCATCCTCCCCTCCTCCTCTGTTGACGCGTGGTTTGCAATGGCCGTGTTCGTTTATTTTAACTTGATAAAGTAAGAAAAATAGAGAATAGAGATAACTAACTTCGATTAAATTCTTGTCCGTGAGGGAGGAAGACCAGAGATGTTCACGCGCGCACCCGTGCATGCATGCAACCTGAGAGTAAAATCTCTTGGTGTAACTTCGTGCGTTATACTGCATGAAAGAATACAGTGCGAGCCGGTGTGCTTTTCATGATTTTCTCACCTTCTAATCTCAAAATAGCACCTTCGCCGCTTGATTTTGAATTCTCAGGTGGACGAATAGAATACCAAACTCGTTCGAAAAGGCTTCTTTACGAACCTCGTGATGGCCCTCGCCTTCGGCTCGTGCCGTAAACGATTGCCTTGGTTCTCAAATCGAAGCCTTTGCAAACTCATACGTAATATACTAATTCTCGAGCACTTTTACTTTGGATGGTTGTATGTAGTGCATTTAACTTTGAATAAGAATAGAGAACACGTCAATTATACCCATTTACATTCTCGTTTTGGTACCTCCGTTTAATTACACACGTACATGCCTGTATGCTACGGCGCCCTACCTTGCTGAAAGTCCGTCTCCATTCTTTTAAAAACGCTGAGAAAAATTTTTTACTTGCATGCATACTTTTAAAACCCATGTAATAGACTTAGCGATACGTCTCAGGGCCGTGATCAGTGGCAAACGTGCTGCGCCACTGGAATCTGGTGATGACTAGAAAAACTGTGTGCACCCTTTCGAGCCCTGTGCAAGCCCATGATCAACCTACCTTCAAATAATTTCATTGCCATGCGTGAAATTCTGACTCGGTAACTGGGTGCAAACTCGCGTTTGACTCTGCCGGAAGAAAGCCCGTTTTTCGTTTCGAGCGAAGATAAATTCACGCTCGTTTCTCTTGGTTCAGGAGCGCTTAAGTGAATCTTAAAATCACTAGAGGTTACCTGTTGGAATACAACAAAATATTTCAATATTTTTTAAGTTCAAATTTTTTTATTCTATTAAAGTCCGGGAAATTCAGAACTATTGTGAAATTCCAGAGTAAAATTAGAATACATGGAAACCTAGGGTAAGAGAGTTTATTTCACATGATTTTTTTAGAACAAAGGCTTAGAATATTTAAGAATATTGCAGAATTTCATTGTAAACTGATAACCACAGTGGCTTACTCAAATTTAAAACTGTGATGAGAGCATTTAATTAACATAAGTCAGAGTCATTTGTACAATCACATGACAAATGGAGAAGCTGTTGCGCATTGTCATGAAGAACAGCGATGATGACTCCTTCGAAGTAGAGATCAAGTTCACCATCAAGGAGACCCAGCAGCAGGTCAAATCATCAGACCGCAAATTAGGTCCAAGCTTACTCCTTCGTTCAACTTCCGAAGAGGCGGCAGCAATTGACTTGTCTGCCAAAGCCCAAAGGAGCATCGGCGCTGTCAACCCTCACCTCTTATGAGCCATCAACTGACACCTTTGCTGCTGGTTTCTCACCCTCTGGAGGTTTGCATGCCCTGTTATCACTTATCAGCGAAACCACTCCCAAGGTGACGAACATCATGCATCGTCCGACCATGATTAAACTTGCAGACTCAATAAAGAGCTTAGAGTCTGCCTTGGCTAACCATTCCGAGAGACTCAAAGAAGTGAGTAAGAGTCAAGAGGCCACGACTCAGACCATAAAAGAGGTGATCGACAAGATGGTGGAGGCGTCCAGAAGCAACCTAGAGGCTGAGAGGCTGTGCATGACGGAAAAACGTCTTACTGTTCACCTGGCACGCCACATCTCTCATTGGCATTTCCTCCCTCTCGGTCGTCCGTCGTTTCTGCCTTTGCTCTGCCTGCTCCTCCTGGCTCTCCTCGGCCACAGCTCCCATCGCTAGTGGTACCACCTCACTGTCGTCTGTCGGGCAGTCGACCACAACCTTGGCCTCGGACTCCAGATTCTCGCTTTTGCTCACTTGCACTCATGTTCAGCAAAGAATGAAAAAAAGGAGCTCACTATAACAAATGAAAGCCTTTCACTTCAGGGCTCACACAAAGAAAACGGAAGCACGAGATCCCTGGCACAAAACCACTCGCGAAGGTGAAAAGAAGACAGTCCCGCGCAGTGGAAGCGTGCTGGGCCCATAACCTGTCAGCATAGCTGTGTCCACTACGCGAGACCGCTTCCTTACTATTATGTGCTAGGGTACAGGAAATCAGATAAAAGGAAAAAAAACACACTGTCGGTTATATTTATAAACTTAAACAGAATTCGTTGTTGTACAGCCTTGCTGTCCTCTACATACAAAAACTCTTACCGTCGTTTATATCTGTCGTCTGTACAGGTAGCTTGTATTCAACTAACTTGTAGACCGATGTGCAGCATCAGTCATATACTTAAGTACTACTAGAATTATATAGATGGCGCTCTGTGTAAGCTTTACATACAACAAGAATTTGAACGGCTTCTCATCTCAATCAATGGTCCAGATACGTCCTCTATTATAGTTAACAAAGGCCTTCCTCAAGGACTTACTATGAGTCCAATACTATATGCTCTGTATACTGCAGGTCTGGACTTAACTCTACGAAAGTTGGTCTCCTCCTCTCACTTTGCAGACGACCTGGCCTTACGGGCATCCTCCTGTGACATAGAGGGAGGTTTAACACCTCTAGAAAACGCATCCAATAGTGTAATCAATTTTTCTTCTGGAAGGGGCTTAGAAGTTACTTCAAGGAAATCAGGTCTAGTAATTTTCAACCACGGTAGGAAGAAATCAGACAATCTTTTAATAAAAATCAATGGGGAACAGGTATTTGCTTCCAATGATTGGAAGTTTCTGGGATTTACATCTTAACCAGAAGCTTAAATGGGACAAACACATCTGTTTTTTAAAAAACAGGTGTAACCTACCAATTAACATAATAAGTTGCCTCACAAGAACATGGTGGGGGGCAGACCCAGACCTGCTACTTACCTTATATAAATCTCTTGTTCGTCCAATTCTAGAGTACGGTGGCTTTCTCTTTTCACCGTGCTCTAACACTCTGTTGAATAAATCACAAATTATTCAAAACTCAGCCATCAGAAAGGCTTTAGGCTTTCAGAAGAGTACCCCAATTAATGTCTTAACTGCAGAATCAAAAATTCCCTCTTTAAATAGCAGATTTCAATACTTAGCGCACATCTACATCCTTAAAAAATGGGCTATAAAAGATAATCCTATTGTCAAAAGTATAGATTTACTTTGCAAACTATCAAATGATTACTCCTTTGAATTCAATTTCCGGAAATCCTTACTGGTCAAGTGCTATGAGGAATGTTGGCACTTTGAACCTATTGTTATCCAATCCAAAAAGTTACCTAAGTTTGAATCACCTTATAATAACAATTTTACACTCCTGGATATTGATCTGCTCTCGGGCAATAAAATGGTAACATCACCAAATCCCAACCTGGAGTTTTACAATCTCTTTCCACCCAATGACCAAGTAGAATACATTTTTACAGATGGCTCTAAATCCTCACTGGACGACGATTTCAAATCTGAATGTGGTTTAGCTGTTTGGTGTGAGAAACAGAAATATACTTGCTCATTCAGAATCTCAGACTACAGTTCAATTTTCACTGCTGAAGCGATGGCCATTATTCAGGCCATCAACCTAATCTCTAAAAACAATGACCAGGAGTTTAAAATATTCTCTGACTCACAGAGTGTTCTGACAGCTTTGAAAGCCTCCAGATGCTTGGACCAAGAATCGGTACTGATTATTTAATTAAGAAACAAAATCGTGGAAGCGGTAGCCAAGGGGAAAACAATTAAGTTAATTTGGATACCTTCTCATGTCGGTATTCAGGGTAATGAGGAGGCTGATCTGTTAGCAAAATATACCTCTAATAAGGGGATTTTTCTGGATGAGGCGATTCCTAGTTCAGATCTTTTTGGACTGTTTAAGTCCAAATGTGACTATGATAATGAAACCAAACTAAAAGAGCTTGCACATTCTAAGGGAACAGAGTATTTCAAATTCTATCACACTAGGTACAAGCTCCCATGGTTTCGAAACTCAGACTTTGACAGGAAGTCGATAGTTATTTTTAACAGAATGAGAAGTGGCCACATGTCCCTTAATTATTACTTGTATAGATATCATATTACAAATAGTGATCTATGTAAATGTGGTAAAACACAAGACACAATTGACCATGTTCTCTGGCACTGTTGACTATATGAAAGGGAAAGAGCCGTTATGCGGGATAAGCTAAAGAATCTAGTGGCATTTCAAGAAATTGGCAACTTTTCCATGATTTTTATGCTAAGTGTTATGAATAAAGATATGCTGAGAATATTAGCAGAATTTATTGATGTGGCTAAGCTGAACATATAACGGTTTATATTTATACTTAGGAGCTATAGAGGTATATATTATACTAACACTAAATTCCATTCAGTTCTAAAAGAGAAATTTAAGTTACTTAATCTTACTTAACAATAGTTAATAATTTACTTAACTGATCACTTAAGTTAAAATGTATGGGTCTACTAGACTCACAACGCTTTTGCATTTTGTATTTATATATAACCTTATACATTGTTCATAACTATTTGGTTTCCTTCTTACGTAAAACTTCATTTATTGTATTTAAAAAGGGCGCTTTTATACTCCATTAATTTGGTATGTATGTAATGTATTTAAGTGTGTAATATAATTTTAACTGTATTTGTGTTATGGCAAAAATGTACTCAAACTGCCAATAAAAATTTTATTCAATCATCATACAACAAGAATTTTTTTAGTTATTAATAATCATATAACATAAAATTGTTTTGTCCACATGCTTTTGTAACTGGTTTTTTTTTTTTTTTTAGATGTACAAAAATAATGTAAAAACTAAATAAGATGTATCCAACAAATTTTGAGCGCACTCCAATTAGCTTTGTACGAACCAATTTTTTGAACAGTTGTTTGCCTACTATTTGATTAAATATGTATACAGTCAGCTGTAATTACATTACATTATATTACACAGAGTATATTTTAAATTTTTATTAATTGTATCAAGGTTTTTTAATGGAAGAAGCCAAAACATAAGTTAAATCTTGATACTAGCAATACATCACCTACAGTTTTTCCCTGTCACTTGGTTAAACGTTAATATATAGAGTTAAAACTGCAATGCATGAAATAAAATACTTTTAAAACTTTACTTAATATTTTTAAAAATTTTCCAATTTTCAGAAGAGATTGAAAACAGCAGCAAATAATAACGTACTACACTGACATTAAAGTGTTTTACAAAAGTGTTGTACAAGTTCATAAAGTTAACTTGAATCTTTTGAATATTTGTTTTATGACAACAAACTTGCTACTATGAGTAATTGTTTAACTAGAAATCTTAAATGATCATTGAAAATGGACGTTGTCATGTAAATAATAATATTTAATTTTGTACGTGTCGAAACAATTTTCATTTGTTATCTCTACGTAAAATTTTGTAAAAAAAAAAAAAACTAGCTTTGTATACTAGAAATGCAATTGATCACAAAAAGTTTATAAATTTTACACCTTTAACACCTCTTTTTTAACTGGAAAGAGCCACTTTGTTTTTAAATGTCAACAGCTCACTTGCAGAACAAATTTGAAATAGATACTGTACAGGGTATCTAAGACCCCTTCATTGTTAGTCTTCAGATCAGGAGACTAAGAGTCCAAAGTATTGTGCTTGCATTGCTTAGCACCTAGAGATGTATACATTACGAAATAAGCTGTACGTACGCAAATTTTTTTTCATTTTTTAAAAGATATGACGCGTATGAGCTCAATAGTTGGACTCAAGTTCAAGTCTTCAAGATGTGACAGTTAACTATGATACTCTACTGTTACAGTTTGGAATAAATCTTCGGGTAAAAATTTGACTATGCATCTGTGTTTATTCAGTCAGCGCGCTGTACATGCTTTATTTTGTATATTACCTTGGCATGGTCAGAGCTTATTGTGCGAGGAGTAAGTTATTCTCAATAGTAGAGTCTCAAATAGTTTGGTGTATTAGAATAGAAAGACTAATTTGTGAAATTAATTGTTGTAAAATTATTTTCTGTATCTGTATTCTCAAGCAACCACTTTGTATTTATTTTTTTGAATAAGTACTACTAACAGATTCCACCATCATTTGTAAGTATCACATGTGTACGTTAGAAAATGTTGTAATCAGGAATCTGTAGTTGATGTACATTAATTCACCAAAACATTCACCGTTTTAACATATTTTTTTGACCAGCCACTTTTCATCTGTCGCACTCTCTTATTATTGTATACATAAAGTCTTATTGTACAGTAATAATGCATTTAAACTTTAAAAAACGTTATACAATGAAAAAAAAAGATAAACAGGTGTGCCACCCTTATTGCCAAGCATTTGTTGTCAGCAAAAAAAAATTGATGTAAATAGCTACACTCCAAGATCTTAAATATATCAGGTAAAATTCAGGACATTTAAATATCTTATTAAATTAAGAAGCAACATACTGTATGAACCGTGTCAATATTTGTTTTTACATCCTTTTTTCTTTTTCTCAATAGTCTTACTTTATTCCAATTGAGATAACAAAGTAATATGTATAATTTTTTGTTAAATGGCTGATACAAAAAAATTTAGACCAAAGTATCATGACTTAGTGAGGAGTATGTGGTGGACAATAAATTTGTTCTTAAAATTTGTTGAAGAGATGTGATAAGACCATAATTGTGATAGTTGTACTGGAATAAACGATAGTAAGAGTATTGAGATCTTATCTTTTTGAGACGGCAGAAATATCCGTAATTTATACATATATTTCTTTGGAACAAATTTTTTTTTTTTTTATCGGCACAACGTACTCTTGGCCTATAGAATTAGCTACAAATACCTTCAGTTAAAAAAACCGTTTTTGTTCCCAGAAACAGTTTTATTTGTAATATTTTGGTCTTTTGAACGCATGTTAGTTAAATAGGACAGAACATTGCATAAAGATGTTTTTATTTAAATTAATCGAATAATTTTAGATCTGCAACAGCTCAAAAAAATTAATTTTAAAGGCTTTGTACTGTGCATTTTGGAATAATTGTTTTTGTGTCACAGTAATTTTTTGCACTTAAAATAGTATTATGCGGTCTATGTAGAGGAGGCTTCGCTGCTATAACATCTATCTTAATTAAGTAATATATATTTCTAAGACAAAAATATGAAAAATATTTTTTAGGCTAATAAAAATTTAATGAGGATTAAAGTTCTGTCAGTCTATTTGTACCACGTGTCATAACTAACAGGAGTTCATTCACATATTAATATGAGATACCGCTATACGTATGTATCTTTCTATATTATTTAGTTGTATGGAATTAAACCATGACTTACCTACTCCTCGCTTTTTTTATCACCTTCTTGAATAATGTAGCTTCTGTATTTTTTCCATGATTTTAAGCCCATTACAATTAAATCGTTCCTCCTCATCACTCTTCTTTGCTACTAATTGGTTTCTCTTCATAGACAGTTAATCTGTAGTTTTTTCGTGACTTTAAACAATCTCAAAGTGGTTTATTTCATCTTCTTGTTTCTTCTTACTTGTCCTCACTTCTTCACAACTTCTATTATTACCCTATTTTCATATATTCATACAGTTGCTTTGTAAAAATGGTTACACTCTCCTTTGGAAGTTTCTTAAGTACAACTACACCCACACTGTGTAATAATAGACATTTTTTGTGTTTTCTTTGTTATGTTAAAATAATCAATTATATTACATCTAGCCTTACACTTTAAATACATGATATATTTTTCAATAAGCCTTTCATTTAAAATACATAATATTTATTTTTCTTGATGTATAAAAGAATTCCTAGAAATGAAATTTGTATTTTTAACGTCTTATATTTAACTGACGTTTAATGTTCTAATCCAGGTTGTAAGTTTGTAGTTAACCTTTACCACATGTTCAACAAATTTTCTGATCTGAATTTTTTTTATATTTTAACATGTGTTCTGTTAAATTTGTGGATCTTTGTAACTGCTTTTTACATGTAATACTTCTANTCCATTGCACCGAGAACACACATTAAATAATGTGTCAAAAATATATATGTGTAGCAAATATACACATTATTATATAACTCAGTAGCCACCGATATATACTTGCCCAAAAATATAGGTATATAGTGACATGATAGCTTTAGCAACCATGTCACAGTATATGCTTTTCCTATATATATTAATATATAGGTGACAACGTTTCGACTACACGATAGGTGCACCTTTTCGAGTCTAAATTTTCTAAGAGTAACGTCAAAGAACGAAGTAATGTGTCTATACTCGAAGCAATGTCGGCAATCTCTCATTATCGTCACATATATATCAATACATATATGAACAGCATAGCCCTTGGCTTACTACGTTATGTTATCTGCTTTCATCTCTGTTCTTAAATGCTGTGTTTTAAATAAAATAAATAATTTTTTATACTATTTTTTTGTACTCTTAAAAAATTTTTAAGAATTAAACAAAATTTTTTTCGTATTGTACAAATACAATAATTAATTTCGATTGCTTATTCTTTTACAATTTTTCCATTCATGATTGTAGTTATTTTTTGACTTTAGAATGTTCGTCACATTATTACTGGGGAAAAAGTTCTGAGAAGTGAGAGGAGCATAAATATAAGCAGCAAAGCTGGCAATTATTTTTCTTATGTGGATGTTCTTACATACATACTTTTAGGCATACTTGATCACCTCTTCCAAAATTTATTTATTAATCAACTTGTGGATTTATTTTAAAATTCGATGGGTTCATCTAAAAGTAATCTCTTACACTAAAAAAATTTGAGGGATTTCTACAAATTGTAAATTGAAGATAGTAATGGTGGTATAAAACATTTTGTTATTAAAGTATTCGCTAATTTCTTATTTGATGATTCTAACGACGATTCAAAGTCTTATAATCATATTTAAAAAAGAAAAGAAAAAAAACGTTTATCATACATTATAATTTTGCAGATTTTTACACTAATTTTAAAGTACTGCTGTGGCGTGTTAAGTTTTTTTTAGTTTTCATCATTGCACAAGAAATTCTTTACAAAAAATAAATGACAAAACTTCTATTTGCTAACATATTTCGTTAAAAAAAAACTGATAATTAAAATTTCTCTAAGTAAGTTTGATAAAAATTTGATTTAAGATATTTTTTGCATGTGATTTCAATAATACAAGAAGCATGTCAAAATTAACAGTTGTTTATTTCTCTCCTTTTGTGCTTGATTTGCACGTTCCTTGGTCCTGATAAGTCTCACTGTTGTTGTTGACATTCTTTGCTCATTGTATTGCTACATCCTCTGTTTCTGCTATTTTCTCTATATAAATCCCTGCCTTTGCTATTATCTCTTTATGTCCGATTCTCCAGCGTGTCACTGGCTTGAACATTT